ACCCCTACCCTACCCTACCCTACCCTACCCTACCCTACACTACCATACCCTACCCTACCTTACCCTAACCCTACCCCTACACTGCCCTTCCCTACCCTACCCCTACCCTACCCTACCCCACCCTACCCTACCCCTTCACTACCCTACCCTACCCTACCCTACCTTACCCCTACCCTACCCTACCCCTACACTACCCTACCCTATCCTACCCCTACCCCACCCTACCCTACCCTACCCTACCCTACCCCTATCCTACCCTACCCTACCCTACCCCTACCATACCCTACCCCTACCCTACCCTACCCCTACACTACCCTACCCCTACACTGCCCTTCCCTACCCTACCCCTACCCTACCCTACCCCACCCTACCCTACCCCTTCACTACCCTACCCTACCCTACCCTACCTTACCCCTACCCTACCCTACCCCTACACTACCCTACCCTATTCTACCCCTACCCCTACCCTACCCTACCCTACCCCACCCTACCCTACCCTACCCTACCCTACCCTACCCTACCCTACCCTACCCTACACTACCACCGACAGTCCAAGTTTCAGCTAAATCGGCCCAGAAACGGCCGAGATATTGCAAACACGAATTAATTGTATTTACTGGCGAATCCCCTTGGCGAGCGGTGCCCTGTGTCGGCCTTTGTTGTCAAAGTTCAATGACCTGCCGGCTCTGATGCTTTTCACTCAGTTTTTAAGCGAACAACTGAGCCTAAAGCACGTGCCCTCTGCTCGGTGCCGGTCGCGATTCTAATGCTAACCCGATGGCGCACATGAGCACGCGCCACGGGTGCACCCCTGGCCGCATCGTGCCCAAAATTTAACACGACCTGTTGAATTACGTGACCCACGAGTCGTGAAAATTTCACCCTCGTGCGTCAATCGACGGCGCCGCAATAGGCGTTTTTGGGAGTAACACCGACTGCGTAACCCCGACGGCGGCGGCGGCGGACTTTTTAAGATTTATAATAGTAGACTAGAGGTACAGGTTCACGCGATAACTGTATGTTTTGATATGTATGATTAACGGATGCATTAGTTTGGGTGAAGAAAGTTGCATTTTTATTGGTATTATTTGTGTAGAACTTGGTAACTGCTTTTAATTGGACTGTAAAGTATGATGGTGATGCATGCGAGTTGTTCGAGCCCTTTGTAAGTTAGGAGGTTACTCAATGCAACCCTACCCTACCCTACCCTACCCCTACACTACCCTACCCTACTCTACCCTACCCTACCCCTACACTACCCTACCCTACCCTACCCTACCACACTACCCTACCCTATCCTACCCCTACCCTACCCTACCCTACCCTACCCTACCCTACACTACCATACCCTACCCTACCTTACCCTAACCCTACCCCTACACTGCCCTTCCCTACCCTACCCCTACCCTACCCTACCCCACCCTACCCTACCCCTTCACTACCCTACCCTACCCTACCCTACCTTACCCCTACCCTACCCTACCCCTACACTACCCTACCCTATCCTACCCCTACCCCACCCTACCCTACCCTACCCTACCCTACCCCTATCCTACCCTACCCTACCCTACCCCTACCATACCCTACCCCTACCCTACCCTACCCCTACACTACCCTACCCCTACACTGCCCTTCCCTACCCTACCCCTACCCTACCCTACCCCACCCTACCCTACCCCTTCACTACCCTACCCTACCCTACCCTACCTTACCCCTACCCTACCCTACCCCTACACTACCCTACCCTATTCTACCCCTACCCCTACCCTACCCTACCCTACCCCACCCTACCCTACCCTACCCTACCCTACCCTACCCTACCCTACCCTACCCTACACTACCACCGACAGTCCAAGTTTCAGCTAAATCGGCCCAGAAACGGCCGAGATATTGCAAACACGAATTAATTGTATTTACTGGCGAATCCCCTTGGCGAGCGGTGCCCTGTGTCGGCCTTTGTTGTCAAAGTTCAATGACCTGCCGGCTCTGATGCTTTTCACTCAGTTTTTTAAGCGAACAACTGAGCCTAAAGCACGTGCCCTCTGCTCGGCGCCGGTCGCGATTCTAATGCTATCCCTATGGCGCACATGAGCACGCGCCACAGGTGCACCCCCGGCCGAATCGTGCCCAAAATTTAATACGACCTGTTGAATTACGTGACCCACGAGTCGTGAAAATTTCACCCTCGTGCGTCAATCGACGGCGCCGCAATAGGCGTTTTTGGGAGTAACGCCGGCTGCGTAACCCCGACGGCGGCGGACTTTTTAAGATTTATAATAGTAGATTAATTAATTATTATACTTTGAGACCCTTAGGTCACTGGATCAGCATCACATTTTCAGTTCCAATATAGTAAAGGTTTTTATTTGTATGATGTGAAATATTTTCCTAAATCAGAATTTAATTATCCCTAGGTACCTGGTAGAGGTTTTGGATTTAATGCTCATTGTTGGTGTGCAGTCAGGATTTTTTGACAGGTCCAGATAGGGAATCCTGAGCAATTTTATAGTAAAGTGGTCTCCTTATAATCACCACACATTTTATCAAAAGCATTTGCAGAATTCATTCAATGAAGAATTTTATCAATGTTGCACCCATTCCTTAGACGACCTAGGCTGCATCTTTTTTTAGTTCCTGTTGTATGACATATTTTCCGTTTTGTTCCACTGCATAAAGAAAAAAATCGTTTGAGATCACCAAACAGCTTTTCTTTTTCTGGCAGGTCTGCACAACCAAGCGGTCGCTGGCGAGGACGTCGGCCGTCCCTGTGGGTAAGGTCATCTGCTCAGCCTTTGTGGAGATCAGCAAGACGTCACCAAGATGAAGACTTCGCTGAAGCAGAAGCCGCTGACCCGTGTCCGATCGGGCAGGTCATGCTCGACGGCACGAGCCACAACTCGAACGACTCGGTGACATCAACAACATGGTGGAGCAGGTGAATGAGTTTGGCGACGTGTTGTGCGACTGCAAGAAGGGTTGTCTGCGTGTTCTGGCCGGCGGAGCGGCGACGCTGCGCAGTCTGTGCTGGCGGTGAGCAGCTGGCCGTGGTGACCGCGCGCGCCCACATGCGCCGACAACCTGTGCGGCTTCGACGGCCCGGGACAGCCCGATGCCGCCCACTATGCGACGCCGACCGCGCACTGTCTGCACGGCCACATGGAGGTGTGCCCGCGCCTTTTGCCCGCACGCGGCTACCTCGCAGCTGGTCTGCAACCACGCCGTCGCCGCCTGTAGCCCGATAACAAAACGGCTGTCTGATAAAGCCGCGTGTTCTTTGTGATGTTGCTACTGTGATCGTTGCTACTGCTGGTCTGAGACTCGATGTTTCCATTCGTCCTTTACATGTTAAGGATTTGATAATGATAAGCTTAGTCCGAGCTTAGGTTGTTTATATCATTTGTTATATGGCATATTTTGGATCAAAGCAGTACGACACTGCCTCCTGCTTTTGTGATGTATGCTGGCAAGACGCAGGTTCCGGTCGCAGGTCACCCGGACCCGGTTCCAATGTGGTCGGGCTGGCATGCGATAATGTGATGTTGTTTTGCTCGTCTCTGTGTTCCACACTTGATGATGTTTGTGAATCTAACCCACATTGTATAGTATTTTTGTTTGTTTGCGGCCGATGGCCTTGTAAGTTGTAACCGTGGCAATACAGTTTTTCCTGCTATAACTCCAATATTCAAGCGTGGGTGGATATCTTTCTGTATTCACGTATTCCCTTCTCCCAGTACAGTCAGAGAATATCAATTACAGTATTCATACGGATTATTCAAGCCTTGTATAAATATTTGAGGTGTGCCGAATCCGAAAGACCGATAAAACTACTAGCGGAAATGTGACATGATGCCATGGGTTTGTGAAAAGTTTAGGTACCACGTAGCATTCAACTTCCTGCATTTCTGTTTCAACTCAGTTTAACGTATTTCAACGAACATAACATCAAAAATGGCAGCCAGTACCGGCTTCACCTGTCACAGAGAACGCTCAAAAAATTGAGTGTAGATGCTGGCCGGCACTCAATTTTTTGAGCGCCAGCTGACTGCCGTCTGTCGTGGCGCTCAATTTATTGAGTATCGCGGTCCCGAACGACAAGTGGCGCTCAAAAAGTTGAGCGTCTTTAGGGCATTTTCTTTCCAAAAACACCGATATAAATTATCACGGCGAGTGTTCGAGAAGAAACCTTGTTGCTCTCTCTTGCCATTGATACCTTATTTGGATACGATATTTGCCGTAGTGTGACGCTAAAGGCATTGTAAAATACCATCGTTTCGCCTATTCCTTCATAATGGGGCCCGCTCAATTTTTTGAGCGCTCAATTTTTTGAGCTTTTCCCCCTTGTGCGTGGGACTGATATACGCGAGTTATTGCATTAAAAAGCCTCACGAACTGTAGTCAACATACTGCCCGAGTAAACATCTTGCCCGTGAGAAGAAAGGTGGGTAGTATGCATACTGCCCGGGCTGTTGGGTAGTATGCATACTGCCCGGGTAGTTTGCATACTGCCCAAGTTAGCATATGACCCGTAACATATATATGGCCTGGTGCGCTGGGAGTGGCAGTCTTGCATATATACTGAACAGAAAAAGTGGGAAAATGGAAAGTCATGAGAACAACATTTTACATTTTGTATTTATGTACTCGAACTCTTCCGGTTTGAAGAAGCAGCGCTTCATTCAATTCTAGCAGACGACGCAAAACGGGGGAGCATATAGCTATTATCATTATTAGTGTAGCTGAAGTGTTACTGGCCCTATCATGCTTTTTAAGGTGCAGTTCAGTTGTTTTAAAAATAAATTCAACTGTTTTAAAAACGTCGTCAGTTGTTTTAAAATCGTATTCAATTCTTTTAAAACGGAAGTCATGTGTTTTAAAACCCCGTTCAACAGTTTTAAATCACAGATCAGCTTTTTAAAATGGAGTTCAACTGTTTTAAATCGCGGCTAAAAAGGTGTAGTTCAATAAACCATGCTACCTGTTCAAACCAGCCCCCAGTTTACCTTTTCAGTGAACCGGTTCACTTGATTGGAAAGGTTCAGGTGATTCCGGAAGCCGTAAGCCGGCACGCAAGTGATGTCCTTGTACAGGGCGCACGGGTTCTCCTTGGTGCCCGCCGCCTGCGAGACGTACGGCATCACGGGCTTGTCGACGAAGCTGCCGAAGCCCAGGCGGAAGTTCTTCGTCAGCCGCCGCAGCAGGATGGTCATGTCCTCACCTAATCGGAAAGCATAATTGGGATTCAGATAGGCATTGCAAGCGAAATGTGAACGTTAGTTTCCTAGGGGAAGATGCCAGAGGGGATCATGCATTCAGTTGTTAAAGGTTGACATAAAATGAAATTGTTGACGTCAGAAGTTCTCCACGACATCAGAGGTATTTTCAATCCATCCTTTTTAAAAGAAGTCCGCTTGCTGGGCGATGCAGGTTTCAGAGAAAAGGATTTGTTGATGAACAGTTCGCAGCTTGATACGGTGGCACCGAAAGGAGTGACTCAATAGTCAATTCTTATATCTCAGTTTATCTTAAAACGATCCACGCAATGCGAGGCCTTTCACTTTTCACATCAATCAATAAGACAGCTGACCTAAAAATGCAGACCTCTGTTCCCCATTTCATGTCATCGGCTCACCGAGGGCCACAAGTGTTTCCTTATCCTCGCGCATGGAGACGGTGAGGTCCATCAGGTAGTACAGGTCCAGCGGGTAGTCAGCCACCTGACGAAACTTCACCTCGAACTCCTTCCGCTCGTCTGAAAACACGGCCGTCAGTTCTCAACGTGACAGCTTGCAAAAAACGCACACATATAGACACACATACCTACCTACGCATGCAGCAACACAAACATTAAGGGTTGAAGTGCTCAATGGGAATACAGCAACGTCCACTTCATATGCACCATTCAGGTATATTCATTTGCGACATAGCAATAAGCAAACCTTCCTCAGTGAAAACAAAAATACCTATTGGCAAACGATAATCCTCCAGCAAAGTATAGACCGCACAGACCAAATACATAGTTACGGCAATCGACCATGGCCTATGGTGCGGTACATGAATACAGCTCCGTTGCTGGTGATTGCCGACTCATACACCTACAATGCATGTATGTACATTGTACAGTTGAGTACAGAATGATGTTCCATTTTTCACAGACACGTTGCTTGAAGTGGTAGGCTGTGCCGCATCACACGAGCTGAGTGACGCAGTTTGAGGCATCATTTAGTCAACTGTTCGTCATCGTTCATGAGAGCTGAGAGAGCAGACGTGAACTCACGCGGTTTCAGGCATGAACTCACGCGGCCTCAGACACGAACTCACGCGGTCTGAGTTTGAGCCGCAGGTGCTGCGGCGCCACCTGTACCGGCTGGCTGGGCGACTGCTGTTCCGATAGCGAAGTGTTCTTCACAGCCTCCACACTGGACCGGGGGAACACGATGTCGGCAGGCGGGCACAGGCGCGCGATCACCGGGCTCAGGTCGCAGTGGTCGTACGGAAAGCCCTGCGGCGACGACAGGGGGTCACAGCCACCCACAGGTCACGGAACCGGAGTCTATTACCGTGCTACGCCGTACTGCACCTGGGCCAGACCTTACATTAGGAGGATGTGCACTGTGCTCTCTTTATATTTCTTGTGACGGGCCATCGCAAGAAAAACGTCAAGGGGTGTGTAGTGTGTACCACCCTACCCTTCACGGCCGGATTGCGCCGTGGTACTGGTGCCTCATTTTGGTGGATGCACAATGCACGTACTACATACATAGTAGATATTAGCCGTTTTCACGGCGGCCATCTGGTACACATTTGGTGCACATCTGGTACAGATTAGGTGCAGATTTGGTCAAATCAGGTTCAGTGTGTCTCTGGCAGCTATCAGCTTGGGTTGCACTAATTGCTCATATGCCTGCTTTGTCATGTTACCAGAGAGCATCATCGATTAAAACACTGAAATAGATTCATAAAATGAAGATATTTGCTGTAAAAGAAATCAGGTGCAGATTTGGTCAAATAAGGTGCATTCGCCGGATAGCCCGTCGTGAAAACGGCTATTATCTCTTTAGAAGCTATCAGCTAGGGTTGCACTAATTGCTGATATGCCTCCTTTGTCATATTATTAGAGAGTATCATCGATTAAAATACGGAAATAAAGTCATAAATTGAAGATATTTGCTGTATAAGAGATTAGGTGCAGATTTGGTAAAATTAGGTGCATTCGCCGAATAGAGCGTCGTGAAAACGGCTACCACCTGTTTATATGTTATGGCCCGTTTGAAACCCTGGCCTGTATTAAAACTGCTCGACCCGTATTAGTGCTGAACTGCTGACCGGAGAATTAATACTTTGTGAGTTTTATAGTATACCTACTTTCCAGTCGGTATTAATACGGGCCGAGTAGATTTAATACAGGCTGAGTTTTCTAACGCATTAATTATCAAGATATGCATTAATTATCAAATTATGATATTTTATTTTCGATCAAAACATCAAACTAAGTTCGTTTGCTCTGGACATAGGCGGCGGAACGGGGAGGGCACCGGGGCACCGTGCTCCCCTTTGATTTTGAAATTTTAACATTAGCCCTAGGGCGTTGCATGGAAAGAATGGGACCAAAAGTCGGCAGTGCCCCCCTTAATTGAAGGTGTTCCACCGCTACTGGCTCTGGAATACATTTTTAAATAGTAAGTTTTAAGTAAGCTGCATGTTTGGCTTTTCATTTTGACTTCTCGCCAAAATAAGTGTTGCTTTCCTCTGTAATCTCTTTTGCCTCTTTGGCATTTCCGTGGCAAAGCAGCTCTCTCCCACAGTAATCCGTTTTCGGCCAGACAAACCAATTTTCGCTGTTTTGTCTCAATAGGAGGGTCGGCTAATTCGTCTGGCCTAGAAAACAGTGTCTATGCAAGTGGATTTGTCCCGAAGCATATTCCGATTCCGTTTTTTTTTTTTTAATAATCGCGTACAGCAAATGTGCAGTCTCCTCACCGTTTTCGATCCATAGTAGCAGGGTCAAACATTATGAATGTGATAAAAGGCCAAAGCTTGATGAATGTATGCTTAGCAATGTTTGTTGCAAACGATTAATTATAATGTAATTTGTGTAAGCCCTGCTCGGAAACAATTAATCTCTGTGTAACACAGAGTGTTGAAATACGTGTATGTAGTAGGTATGTTAAATAAATTGATTTTCTTACAATATCCGTATGATATAAACACTCAGAAGATATGAGCGCCGAAATTTATCAGTTTTCACTTGGTTGGCGTAAAATTTAATGAAAATGATATATTTCTAAAAATGCTTATCTCTTACAAAGAACAGGCAGATTGACTGCTTGAAGACTGCTTTAGCACGACCTCACTCATGTGTTGATAATAAGACTCATTAATGGATCCCTTGAAGACAAAGCACCGCTTATACCAGTAACACAATGGACATAATTGCTGCGTTGTCCTCTATAAGCGAGAGTCCCTGTCAATTGGTGCCCTTCGTGAAGCTTTCGACCGCCGTACGGAAATAAAACGCATCTTGAGATGCTTAGAGCTGAGCTAAGAGCTTCCTATCGAATCGACGCTAAGTTCTTTATCGCGGATCAACCAAGAACATACTTCATAAATAGCAGCAAACGGCATATATAAAGCAACATAAAAAACATATATAAAACAGCAAACACGGCGGGGTACCCGCCCCCCTTTTTAGATATCAGTGAAAAACTACAGGGAGCTTCACCCCCCCCCCCTGGCTAACGGGCTAACAACTTGGGTTGGGTTAACCCCCCGGTTTAAGGGTTAACATCCATGGGCTAAAAGTTAACACTCACGGGCTAAAGGCAAAACATAGTCATCGAGTCCGACGCCGTGAACCACCGTCTCCCATGGAGTGCCCCTTGCTGTACTGACCTCCGATCGTTCCGTCTTGCACCATGCACAGTCTGAATGGGCCGTCAGGCAGGCAGTGCAGCTCTGCTGACCCTTGCAGCTGGCGGTGGTCTCGGCGCCGCCTGGGGGTCAGAGGTCAGCATGGCGACGTCACAGGTCACATGAAATTATGCGGATCGACTCTTCACTTTGCGTTGCACTCACCTGTTTCAGGGCATTCCGCTTGCATGGAAAGATGAAGAGGGAATGAACTCTTAAAACCATACCTATCACTTACTTTCCTCTTCTTTCTCATGACTAGAGAGATAGAGAGAGAGAGAGAGAGAGAGAGAGAGAGAGAGAGAGAGAGAGAGAGAGAGAGAGAGAGAGAGAGAGAGAGAGAGAGAGAGAGAGAGAGAGAGAGAGAGAGAGAGAGAGAGAGAGAGAGAGAGAGAGAGAGAGAGAGAGAGAGAGAGAGAGAGAGAGGAGAGAGAGAGAGAGAGAGAGAGAGAGAGAGAGAGAGAGAGAGAGAGAGAGAGAGAGAGAAAGAGAGAGAGAGGAGATAATAATTTGCCGAGAATTGAGTATTATTGATTATTATTAGGATATATACTATACATATGTATATAGCATCGAGCATAGTCATTTCGTACACAGGTTCTGCGCCGTGGTATGTACCAGAGTCCAGGACCAGGCGGAACTCCAGCCAGATACCGATATCGCACCTTCTTGCACGCGTGCAGCGGCTAGCAATCTCTTATCGGTCTGACTCAGCTGGTACGTCGACCTGGCGCGGCTCCGAGACCTTCTGGAAAGGTGCACGTAGATTTCCACTGACTTACCTGGCTGAAAGAGAGACGACAGAGCCAGTAACCCGGCCGCTAGGATGATAGGGCGCCTCATTATTGCCGAAGCTGCTACAGAACGGCAATTGGTAATATAAAACCCGAAATCGGGACCTCAAATTGATCCGGTAAGATCAGCTTTGGGGGAGCAGGAGCATTAGCAGTGAAGCTAGCCTAGTACGCTTCTTAGAGTCAGCTGCACTGTGCCAGTGTGCACTGATCACTGTGCTCACATCGATTGCACTGTGCACTGTTCACAGTGTTCAGGCAGGTCACCTCGTCTCGTCCTTAGCCGTCACTCATACGCCTTCAGACACGTTCACTGAGGCCACGCTTCACTTCCACTTCCTAGCCCAGCACGTTCAGCACGCCACGCCCTGTGTCCGCCGGCCGACACCGGTCGGGAGGAGCCCGATCCTCCTCCGTCGACTGAACAGCACGTGTTACCCGGCGTCGGTGCCACTCGGCCGGTGCAGCGTTATCGGCCCCTGATAGCAGACCAGAGCACCGATTTGAACTGAACGCCGCCCAGCAAACAACGCGCCAGTGAGACACGTCGCACCAGATAGGCCAGATATAGGAGTGACTGGAATGTGGCCGCTTCAATGAACTCTATTTAAGATATATTTGGCAATGCAGGACAAATATGTTTGAATTTTGTCGGCAATTTATTGATCACACGCGCACATCTGTACAACTTAGATGTCTGTGCCGTAGTCTATGCCATGTATTTGTCGACGTCGCCATGCCCCTTGCAGGCTGCAGCCCAAATGCATGCCGCTGCTCTAATTCCTGCGCGATTCATTGCACTCAACATGCAATCGAATCAATATCCGGGCACATGTAAGATGATCCTGATTCCTGATGTCGCCTCAGATGTGAGAGCTAGCTCAAGCTACGTCACTTATGTCCTACGGGGGAGAACACGGCTTGGCACGCGGAGGCGAGCTGCCACCCCCCCCCCTCCCCCCACACACTGAAAGCCCCCGTCCCATTTATACCCGATTGCATGCGCAGAAAACACAGAAACAGAATGATTTGTTTACGTTTTGGGGAATGGGGAATCAGTGAGTTTGAATAGATGGGCTATCAGGGGTGTAGGATCGCAAAATAGGTTGGGGGGGCTGAACCCTGGACGCCAGTGGGAGCGGCGACGAAACGTGCTGACCGGGGGGGGGGGAGGGAAAAACCAGCAGTGGAAAAGGTGTTGACCGGGGGGGGGGGGGGGGGGAGCGTGGACCGTGGTGGTGAAAAGCGGGTCTGTGACTTGAGTGATATGACTTGATCTTTCCCCCTGGATCCAACTTGAGGCTTATAAAATAAGGCGTTGGTATTTATATTCCGGCTCAACGTTTTGCAACCACATTTATGCAGTGTATGTTCCCGCTAGTCTTCCCTTTTGGCTGTTTGAGGGACCACCTCGACTACTTCTAGGGCCACGATATGAATCGACAAAGTAGACGATCGTGATCGGTAAAGCAGGACCTTCATAGAACAATTTCTGTTGTAGTATTTCGCAAAACCTCCGCATTCTGCATATCAATGGAAGCATATTTTTAATTTATTTTTAAAGTTGTAGGTCGTGTAGCCACACGAATACTCCCAAATGCACGAAACAATTGCAGGCACGTACCTAGGATTTGGCCAAGGGGGGGGGGGCGGAGGATCCCGGGGGCCTCCTCTCTACAGAGGGCAAGGGAGGATCCAGGCGAACGTTTGTGTGTGTGTGTGGGGGGGGGGGGGAGGGTACAGTTACAGGTCGGCCGACATGCCGGGTCTGATGGATGAATTCTGACGACCGGGGGAGGGGAAGCGAGTACGTCGAGATCAAAAGGCATTTTGTCTTTGTCGTTTCTCAGATGAAGCTTTATCGTTATAAGTCACTCGGCTCAGTAGTTTTAGTTAAATCCACCTATACAAGTGCGTCGCCACGGATTTCCTACTGGGGAGGGGGGGGGGGGCGTATCGACCGACTTAAAAACCCAGAAGTTGATATTGTTACCGCACTTTTAGCCTAATGCATTAGTAGCATACAGTAGTGATCTCTCTTATTGACCTGTTTATGAATCAGCAGCGCAAGGCGCGATGAAAATTTGCAAAAAAAAATGTCAAAACACAGCTCCAAAACACAAATTTTACGACCCTTTTAGCATGCTAGTACAAGCCGGAGTTCCCAGTACACATATGAATTTTGATTCAATTTGACACGGTTGGTGTTATTACAGTCACGGTCTTTCTTATTGACTGGTGTATGAATCGGAGGCGCGGAGCGCCGAGAAAATTTGCAAAAGCATTTGTCAAAACACAGCTCCAAATCACAAATTTTACAACTCTTTTGGCATGGTAGTACAAGCCAGAGTTCCTTAACACTCCACAGTACCTACACATATGAATTCCGATTCATATTAACACAGTTGGTTGGTGTAATTACAGTCACGATCTCGTATTGACCTGTACGTACAAAAATTTGCAAAAAAAAAAAAAATCAAAACACAGAGGGGCCTCCTCTCTACAGAGGACCACCTCTCCACTGTGGGCCTCCTCTTTTCACAGGGCCTCTCAACTACAGAAGGCCTCCTCGCTACAGAGGACTTCCGCTCTACTGAGGGTCTATCCCTTTCAGAGGGCATCCTTTCTTCAGAGGGCCTCCTCTTTAATCTTTACAGGGGACCTCCTCTCTACAGAGGACCTCATCTCTGCAAAGGACCTCCGGTCTCCTCTCTACTGAGGGAGTCCTCTCTACATACAGCATCCTCTCTTCAGTGAGCCTCCTCTCTTCAGTGAGCCTCCTCTCTACAGCGGGCCTCCTCTCTTCAGAGGGCCTTCTGCTTTCAGGCGGTCTCCTTTCTACAGAGGGCCTCCTCTCTACACAGGGCCTTCTTTCTACAGATGGTCTCCTCCCTCTCTACAGAGGGCCTCCTCGGGGCCTCCTCTCTCTACAGAGGACCTGCTCTCTACTGAGGAGTCAGAGGGACCCTAGCGGTCAAAGCCACTAGCGGTTATTCACAGGAGGCCCCAGGAAGTACTCGTAAGAAGGACCCTAGCTAGGTCAGGCTGGTCAGAGGCCCTGAATGTCCTGACGCGATTTTTGGGATTCCCTTGAATTTCTTTCGCCTCCGACGTGATTTTGGCCCCGTGGTCTTCGGCCCACGGGGCAGGCGCGGATACAAGGGGGGGGCCATGGGGGCCATGGCCCCCCCCCCCTTGGCCGATTTTTTTCAAAAATAAAATAAAAAGTTAAAAAGTTAAAAAGCTGAAAAGGGGGCCTCCTGAAAATAAAGTGGCCGAAATCCGACGAGTTTTTTTTTAACCTACCCACTTAGTTATTTCTTAGAAGACTAGCTGAGAAGACTTCTTTGTTAGAAGATTGGTAAAGCTTTTCATAACTTGGAGGTCTCTTATACTCACAGAGATGACCACTTTTACAGGGCCTCCTAACCTGCACAGAGGGCCTCCAAGCCTGCACAGATGTTGAGATGTTGCCTGAACAGCTAGATAAGCTCAATAGACGCAGTTTTTTTTGGGGGGGGGCCAACAAGTGGGAAGATGGGGCCTCCAACAGGTGGGATTATGGGGGGGGGGGGCCTCCTGGTTTCTAATGGCCCCTCCCTTGGAGATTTTCTGGATCCGCCCCTGCCACGGGGGCTCCTGAAAACCCCAAGGGAGGGGGCGCCCCGTCCGCCCCCCCCCCTTGGGTACGTCCCTGAACAATTGTCCTCATCGTCTGTCCTACTGTCTGAGTTCCACCCACATGGCCTTGGACCCACCCATAAATAAACGAAACGAAGCTGTCGAGTGTCGCGCCTTTGTTTTGTTGTGTTTTTTCTACTTTCTGCACCGCTTTAGCGTGCGTTCGGCATCCGGAAAATATTATCGTTTGGATATTCTCGGCCGGAAAATTATTGGTGAGCGCCTATCTTCAGCATTTCTTGTTATCGCGATACCGAACGTAATCCCCGATAATTATCGCTGATCCCGGATAATTTTCCCCGATTTTCCGTATGCCGAACGCACGCGTAGTAACATCCAAAGGTTTTGTGCTGTATCGTCAGCTGATTATGCCTACGATGGCGTCAAATTCCGTAAAAAGGATTTGGCCTTCTGCTGAAGGCGGGACATAAAAGATATCTTAGAATAAAGATGAAGAAACAGTTAAAAGTTAGTGAACATGAACATTTCTTTCACCAAAAAGTTTTAAGATAACGCCTGTTTATTTTTATTCATTATGACGCTATCATTTTTTAAAGATTTGACATAATCATAAACATAATCAGATGACGATATTTCACCGGCCTTGATTTCACCTCTATTTTACCTTTTTTACTATTTATTTTTTGTTTTTAGGGCTTTGTATTTTACTATAAAAAAGTATTATAGTCTTGTTGCAAAAAACGGTGTGACAACGTTCGGGAGGTGAGATAAACCGATGCATTATTTTCGCGAAGGTTGTGTGTGCTCGTTTGTGTGCACGATCTGGAACTATTAAGAGTAAAATTAGTTTTCGAGTGATATGCAGAATGCTTGGTTCTTGTAAAATACCGCAACCGAAATTGATTGCTGAAGCCTGCTGTACGGTGTTTTAACATGCTGACCAATTGATTATTTCAGGCTTGTCAAAACCACAGTTGACTAGATGGCATGTTTTGCGCTATAACTGTGCGTTTTGATAGATTCGTTTGAGGGGGCATTAGTTTGGGTGTGGGAACTTATGATTTTTATTTGTCTTATTTTGTCGGAGTTGGATATTTGTTTGAACGGCATGGTATGCTGGTGCTGGTTGCGGGTTGTTAGAGCCTTTCTCGTGGTTTGCCTTTATCGAACTCAAAGCTACCCTACCCTAACCTACCCATACCCTACCTTACTATTAACTTACACATAGTTACCCTTCTCATACTCGATTAAAGTAACGTACCAAATTTGGGCGCGATCGGCCCAGCCGTTCTTGAGATATCAAACTGGCCCACTGCACGTGCGCACGCGCTGAGACTCCAGATGACGTGTGCCAGCCACCTTTCTAAATTGTCCCCAACAGTGAACAAAATTTGAGCGAAATCGGCCCAGCCGTTCTTGAGATGTAGAAGTGGACCCCTCACGTGCGCACGTGCAATCGAACCACCCTACCTGTCACAAATGACCATACATCGCCAGGTTAATGCCCCCTCCACCCACAGTCCAAGTTTCAGCGCAATCGGCCAAGTAGTAGCCAAGTTATTCCTAGTACAATAATGTGCTGTTTACTGGTAGGCGCTTATTTTCAGTGTTTGGAATTCCCCTTTGCGGGCGGTGCATTGAAGCCCATGCTTTGATAGCTATTGTCAAAATTTGAATGGCCTGCCGGCCATAAGCCATCGATCGGATTTTGACGAAAAATACCTGTAACGTTAACGAAACACGGCCGTATGCTTGAGTCATTTTCACAAAAGTTTATTGACTTTTCGATAATATTTTGGGTGGATATTGGTCAAAAAA